TAGATTATGAAGAATTCAGAAGGTTAGAATTAAAAAGCACACAAAGAGTGGATGCACCTGCGCCATTGCAAACGATTCTGAGGCATTTCGTTTAAGGTCTCTAACCTTCGGTGACTTTCGTCTCGCGGACCCCAACCAGGAAACATGACTCAGTCCACTTGTCAGTGACTTCATGGATTTGTGTCATGTTTTGGTCTGGCCGCCCCTAGCTTTCTTCCAACCTATTCCTACACCACAAAACATAGCTCGTCGAGGCAGTCGGTGTTTAGACATTCATACCACATGTCCCAACCACCTCAACTGATGAAGTTTCAATATTTCATCAATTGATCTGCCATCCTTACCTAGTAATCGTTTCCTAACAACATCACTGCTTACTCGAATGTCCCAGGATACGCCAACAATGCTTCGGAGACATCGATGATCGAAGACTGGTAACCTACGAATGTCCTCTACTCTTTATAGCCATGTTTCGCATCCTTATAGTAGCACACAGCGAACTGCTGATGCTGGTTAGCAAGCGGATATCTCGCCTATGCCATAAGTGACGCAGGCTGGCAAAAGCCAATCGAGCCTTCTGTATCCGAGCTGAGATTTCGTCAGTCACCAGGCCATCAGCACTGATCAGACTCCCCAGATAAGTGAAGTGGTCTGCACGTTCGACTACTTCACTCCCTATCACTAGTTCAGGTACCGATGGAACCCATTCTTGAAGCAACATTTTGCATTTCGAGAGGGAGAACGGCATCCCGAACATGCTTGCATTGTTGCTTAGGGTAGTCAGAAGACGCTGCATTTTGTCAGCATCTTCACCGAATAGAACTATGTCATCGGTATATTCTAGGTCAGAAAGTGATTTTCCTGGTAGAAAGTTGACTCCAGAAAAGTCGGACGAGGCTAAGGTTACAACTAGGAGCAAGTCTCTGACAAAATTGAACAAGAAGGGAGAAAATGGACATCCCTGACGCATACAGCTTGAAGTGAAGAATTCCGGTGACAGTTCGCCATAAACTCTCTACTCGACCAGAAGTGTTCGAGTAGAGAGCTTGTATTAGGTTAATGTACTTCTTTGGTACAATTTTCAATGACAGACACTGCCACAGAATCTCACTATCCACAGAGTCGAATGCCGCCTTATGGTCCAGGAAGACAACTATTGTAGGACGCCTAAATGTGTGTCTGTGTTCCAGGACCTGTCGTAGTGTGAAGATGTGGTCTATACAGCCACGTCCAGGTCGAAAAACAGCCTGGTTTTCTCTAGTCTGATCTTCATGAGCACTAGTAAGGCGTCTAAGTATAATGGAGGCTAACAATTTAAAAACTAAATTAGTTAAAAGTAAAACCTGATGAAAATATTTCATTTCCCACTTTTATTGTTTTAGTCTAATTTTCAAAAAGAAAATAATGAGTTTCATAAAAAAATTACAACAATTGAAAGTATATTAGTATTTAAGTAATAAAGGTAAATGACATTAAGCTTTCATGTTCAAACTTTTAAATCGTTCAATTAAATAAAATTTAAGGAAGTTAATTACTTTTCCCTAAAATCCTTTATTCTATTCAAAATTTAATTCAAAATTCTGTCAGCAATAATTTATCCACTGATTAAAACATTTCAATGAAATACTTTAAAACAAACATACAAGCAGAGTTTTACTAACCATTAGTCGGAATTTTCCCAAAACCCTTCCTTAATGGTCCATTTGAATACCGGAAAAAAAAATTTCATTCATATAAACTTGTATTTTAGATAAAGAAATACTTTTATCTCTCTCTTTCTCTGTGTGTGTGTGTGTTTATCTTGAGAATGAGTAGAGAAGATGAAAGTTGTTGTTTTAATGGCGGAATATGCATTGTACTAAAAGGCGAACAATTACAAAAAAAGAGTCAATTAAGTAGTATATGCAAATTGTCATTTAATTAGAGTGTTTCATATATTTTTTATCATTTTGTCAAATTTATTACGTCTAACATTGAAACACTGAATTCCTAATGAGTTTCCATCATCTTATAATCTATTGCCCGTAGATGATGAATAATATCATAAGAGAGAAACACAGAATTAAAAGTTTTTTCTAAGATTATTAATTACTTGATAGATTCAGAAACTTCAAACAAAGATACCAATATTCTTCATATCCTAGGTTTCGAACCAATCACGTTACGAGGCCATAAGCTCATGAACTTTTCTGTAGATTATACGGTGGATTATATTAAGAAATGGATTGTTTTTCGGCCTCCTGAACATTACATACAACATGTTCTTATCTAAACAGCATTTTTTCAATCAAATAACTTATCTAGGGTAATATATTGTAGTCAGTAATATTTTTATAGACTAAAAACACATAAAATCTTATAAATTCTGCATTCGTGGTTAAATATTCGCGTAATTATTTTATAATATTTTTAATGTTATTGGAAATTTCGTCGATTAGCCATCCGAAATATTGAGTTTTTGATGAAGTGTTCTTTCAATGAAACAAATATCTTGGTACTTACTTACTTACATCCGTTACCCACAATGGAGCATAGGCCCCCAACCAGTTTCTCCAACCAACTCTGTCCTCGGCTTCCTTTTCCAATTCTGTCCAATTTCTGTTCATTCTTCTCATATCTTTCTCTATTTCTCGGCGTAATGTGTTCCTTGACCTTCCTCCTTCTCCTTTTGACTTGAGAGTTGCATGTGAGGGCTTGTCTCGTGACGCAGTTTGGTGCTTTTCGTAATGTGTGTTCTATCCACTTCCACCGCTTCTTCCTGATTTCCTCCCCCACTGGAATCTGACTTGTTCTCTCCCACAGTTCGTTGTTGCTGATGGTGTCTGCCCAATGAATACGAAGTATTTTGCGTAGACAACTGTTAATAAACACTTGTATCTTGTGGATGATGGCTTAGGTAGTTCTCCAAGTTTCCGCTCCATATAGTAGAGCTATCTTGACATTTGTATTGAATATCTTATAATATATATTTAAGGCTGATATTTTTTAATTAAATGTAATTTTGAACAAACAACTTTAGGACAATGAATTTCCATCCAACTGTATTGTCAAATATTATAGTTTGCGAATAGTTACAAAAGATATCCCTAAAACTATGATTACCGGTCGTTTATCTTCGACTGCAAATGACGATTCCCAAAAGATAAGTAAAAAGAAAATAGCTTTATTTACCTGGAAGCACTGAATGACAGTTTCTTCCTTGTATGAAGGACTCATCAGTAATGAGCATCTACGACACTCATTCGAGTGAATCGCTATCATTCTAATGAAACCTAACAATTTTCACAACTGTATAATAAAAATCAGAAAAATGCGCTTACTGGTGCTTACTAGCTTTGTGAGGAAATTTTCAGAGTTTTAGGGAGAAACCGTGACCAGTGGAGTTCAGCCCTGTCGAAGGTGTGCAGTTACCTACCGAAGACAATGGGTGAGGTCGCTCAATACTGAGAATCGATTAAAGTTAGAAATTAACACAGTTGAGTACCAACCCAGAGTTCTAGAGGTTAGGCGTTCGCACACGAGACTGAAGGTCCTATGTTTGGTTCCCGCGAGCGCGAGTTGTGGATGCATACTACTGATGAGGAGTCCCATACTAGAAGGAAATAGAAGTCCAGTGCTTCCATGTTTCTAATGATGGTCTAACAATGATCGATTTTATCGTTCCAAGGAAAGTCAACAATCTTCACAGCTGTATACTAAAAGCAGTAAATGCCTTTATTTGGATTAGTTGTGATATACTTGTATCTTGTTTCATCACAACTCATGTATCCTTCTTATAACGCTTGTTCTTTAGATTTCCTTCCTGCTTTATTAACCGTGCAGTGAAATATTCATTGGCAGCGCTTAAGGTATAGCTCTTTAAATAAAGACAATGTACCCGTAGAACGTTTATGTTGTAATTAAGAGCTTTTAGAGAATTCAAGAGCAACAAATTTCTTTCACATGATTTTTTAAATTAAAGCAAAATGACAATAATTTAGAGATGTATGAGTCTCACTGTGTTATGAATTGATCACCAACATTAGAAACCTGTAATCAATGGTTGGCCGTTTCGTCCTAGTATGGGACTCATCAGCAGTGCGCATCCAGAATCCTCCGTAGCAGGAATGAAACCTAGGATTTTCAGTTCGCGAGCAAATGCCTAACATCTTATCCATTGAGCTGATGAATCCCATTCGATTTGAACAATCACGTCTTGTTTTTTTATTCAGAAATTGAAACTGTGAAATATCTAAAAGATTTTATAACAGCCGTCGGCTGTTTTGTGTACAGCAACTAATAGAAAGTTTATGTAATAGAAATTTTCCCTGGAGCAAGAGGCACTTAACTGGTATTTTTATTAAATATAAAATATATTTAATTCAAAAGGCTTCTATTTCTAAATGATTCATTAATCGACTTTGAATATACGATGAAGATATTACTACTTTATTGCTAGTGTGGTGTGAGCTACTTATAAGTAGTGTATGACGTGAGTGTCAACGTAATGTCTGGCAGCAGAAGATGGGGGAAGATCAAGAAGGGATGAGTTAGAAAACAATGGAATTTGTATGAAACGCATGAATAGTGACAATGGATTGATGTTTTGCAACAGGAACAGTCCAGTTCGATATGATGAACTGATATTTTGCAAATGAACGATTTACGATATGGTTTTCCTATTTTACTGAGTGACTCTGTAATTTTCGTTGAATACGATCCGGTTGCCCCACCTGTGTTCTCGTTCACTGCACTAGTATTATGGTTTTTGATAATAATCATAAGTGAAATCAGAAAGTGCTGAAATTCTGTGAATGACTACTACACTATACCTTTTCTTCAATAGTAAAAGATTCTTATCATCATTAATTGTACAAAATTACAATGAATTTCTCTTCCTCCATACATTCAAATTGTAATTATTGAGTAATCAATCACATCCTATAGATTTTTTTTCAACAGTTAATATTTTTTTACTCTTCTTTAATAGCGAAAGTTTTGTTTCTTTGTGCTATAGATAATTTTTTTCGATTGAGCAAACATTGAATTCGTGAATTCTACCGAAGACTGTGTATGAGGTTGTGCATCTCCGTGAATTTGATCAAGTTAGACATTAGCACCGTTAGATACAGGCTCAATGGTCTAAACGTTAGGGCGTTCGTGCACAATACCGAAGGTCCGGGGTTCGAATGCTGCGGGGTGCAGGAGTCCCATACTAGGACGAAACGGCCGTCCAGTGCTTCCAGGTTTCTAATGGTGGTCTAACATAGATCGATTCATGGTTTCAAAAAATGTGTAATTCTAAATATATTGATCGTTTATTTTAAAGGTTAAATAATATGCTAGTAGTACAATATTTCAGATTGAGATTTACAATATTTTACACTACGTTAAGTTATTCTACTATTAATAATCTCCTGTGAGTACATACAATTAAGTGTCATAATTAATCGATTCAGATAGATTTAAACCAAGAATGTTTATTGATATTATTTACGCTGTTAGAACGGAAGAGGTCCAAACCTTTTGGTATCTCGCTGATGTTTCGATTACATATATGTAACATTATTTCTAAGTTCTTCTTACGATCAACTGAGACCATAGAAATACTCACTATACAAAATCAAACATTTTAGGAGTTCGTCGTTCTACTTACTAAAAGCTTAAATTCCAATCCTAATTGCAGACTCCCCGTTTCAGATCACACTAAACCTTTTTCGTGAGTAGTATCTTTAGATTGTTCACATTCATATTAACATTCAAAGATTTTTCAAGTGGAACTTCAAATTCAAGCTCTAATTTCTGTTATAATTTTAATATTGTAAATTCTTTTATCTTCAAATTACTAACAATAGGAATAACGATATTAATAAAAGTAATTCAATTTAATTTAAAGATTTAAGGATTAACATATTTGACTTTTGGTTAAAAATCATTAATTAACAATGCGTTTAATAAAAAAATTTGAAATATAAACCCAGCTATATCAATTAACTTGGATACTTATTTACGCCTGCTGCCCCCTGGTGGAGCATAGGTCGCCGACCAGCGTCCTCCAACATACTCCGTCCTGAGCCTTCTTTTTCAGTTCTATCCAATCTCTGTTCATTCTTTCCTTATCTACTTCCAATTCTCGTCGTAATATGTTCATTCATCTTCCTTTTTTCCCTTTGCCTTGATGATTCCAAGTTAGGGATGTTTTGTGACAAAATTGAATGCTTTCCTCAATGTGTGTCCTATCCATCTCAAGCACTTCTTCCTGATTTCCCTCCCTGATGGAATCTGGTTTATTCTCTCCCAAAGTAGGTTGTTACTGATCCTATCGGATCAACGGATCCCTAATATCTGGCGTCGACAACTGTTAGTAAACACCTGTTTCTTTTGAATGATGACTTTGGTGGTTCTCCAAGTTTTCATTCCATACAGTAGAACTGTTTTGACATTTGTATTGAAAATTGTGACTTTGGTGTTGAACGATTCGGGTTAAAGATGTTCTTCAACTGTAGAAATGCTGTCGTTGTTTTGCCAACTCGTGCCTTTACATCCGCATTAGATCGGCCTTGCTTATCAATAAGGTTTGTACATCCTTCAGAGCCTCTCCATCAAGTGCGATTTGGTTAGTCCACCGGAGCGTCAGGTTGCTCCACTAGAGTGAGCTGTACTATTCCGGTTGTAATGGTAACACTTGGACAGTGTTAGGTTCCCCTTTAAATCAATGTGAAGTTACCTTTGCTCATTGAAGATGAATTTATTTGACTATATCGCATAAACACAACATAAAACAGAATTTTAATTTGAAAAATTCAAGAAAATACTGTCATTTTGTGTCAAATGAATTGAAAATTTTTTCATTCTTTTTCTCTCATTTCATACAATAATAAAAGATAATTTACAAATGAATAAATAAAATGACAACTTGATTTCTATTTTTTTCAAAACAGAAATTTTGTCAATTTCCGGTGTAAAAGTTTTAATTAAAATTTCAACATATTCTATGCATAAAACCTAGCGGTATATTTCAACAATGAAATGTTGTTGAGTATTTGTATTTATTTCCTACTTGACTAATGTTCATATTACTGATTTCCGTTCGGGAGGCATTCGATAAAATAGAATTAATTGATTTTTTTTTCCTAGAATGACTGTTGTAAGTTATTCACTTCCGATAAAAAAAATTCAAGTGGAAGATCATATGTTTGATTTCAATGTTTACGGTGAGATTAAACTGTCAGCTATAAACCTCAGCCTATTTTGTTTCAACTAGGCTTAGATGAGTTTTTTCCAATATGTACAGAGAGTAAATACTAGTCAGCGTAAATGTATCTTGCTTAGAAAATGCAGGATAAAACTCATAAAGAACCTAAGGGCAACCAGACATGGAAGTGTAGTATTTTATGCCACAGAGTCAGTCTGCTGTAACGTAGAACTTCGTAAGTATGTACATCAGTTCATGTTGCCTATGGAATATATTACTTTGCCTACAAAATTGACTTGATTCTTAATGAGAAAGATATTTGTTCAATAGCACATCTCAGTCAATTGCAATGTTCAGGTAATCGAATACGTTGTCAATAAATTTAGCAAAACATATATAGTTTATTGGATAACTTTGACAAGGGAGCGATAGGTTTTCTGTTAAGATGTTATTTAGTTTTAACAGTCAAACAGTAAAGTAAAACCCTAAAGTATTCTGTCCTATCAAAATAGTTTACATAATAAAAATGGCATCGATTGATGGCGATTTTTCAATCTATACGTGAACATGGTTTTTTGTTTTCATACTAACTTTGTACAGATTTTGAGGAAAACTAGTCTTGCTCACAAATATTATTCTTCCGAACTTCAAATCGGTTAGGATTATCATATTGTTTTAAACAATATCAATTATGGCGCCAAACAGTGAACATTGAATTTGAACAAAACCTATTCTTATCTTTTCTATTGTGGTTTTTTTTCAATTTTCTTGGTTTTTTAAACAGAAATTAATTCGAATGAATATGCCAGTAGATGAAAATGGTTGTGTACATTTTACAACGACATTATTAGCTTTAATACGTGAATCATTAGGAATTAAAACTGGACCAACTGAAATTATGGATCAACGTGATATTGAATTAAAAGAGACAATTTGTAAATTATGGCCTGTACATGGAAAGAAAATGCTGCATTTACTTGTACCTCCTGATTCAGGTAATGAAAAAAAATAAACAAACAAACAGATAATCAATAAATTGTGTGAAAGTATGATGATAAGTTACATTGTATACTAGAATGTTTCAGTTATAAATGATGTTATATTTTAGAGTATTTTTGAACAGAGAATTGAGAAGACATATTTTGTGAGATAGCACCATTTCGTGCTTTCTCGTCAGTCACATACAAACAACATTTTATTTGTGTAAATAGGGTAAATAGGAAGCCCCCTCGGACCTGTTTTAGCAAACATATTCATGGGAATGATAGAAAGCAAGTGAGTCACTTCATCGATGGTATTACACTTTACAAACGATATGTAGACGATATTCTTGTCATATTACCACATTCTGCAGATGTTAATGAAGTTAAGGATTTATTTAGTGCGATTCACACGAATCTGAAAGTCACTTATGAGGAAGAAAAGAATAATGAACTAGCCTTCCTCGATATCCTGCTCCATCGCCGTCCACCGCAAACCCACGTAGTCGGGACAGTACCTCCACTTCACTAGTTTTTGCCCCATACATTATAAACGTTCTGTTGTCAAAACTTTATTCGCTCGAGCAAGTAGAATCTGCACTTCGGATACAGTGAACGACGAATTCAAGCTTATTACTGACACACTTAAATCAAACGGATATCCCGAAACGTTTATTGGTCATCAGAACACAACTATGACGAAGCTGATAGCAACTGATGTGCCCAAGAAACCAGTGTACCTACAGTTACCTTTCAAAGGTGATCATTGCATGAAAATTACAACCAAACAGACTGCAGCTGCAATAAAAAAGACCTTCAATGCAGCTAATCTGAGGCTTATCACAACAACTCAATCGATCTCAGTTACCCCAATCAAGTCTCCAAGACCGATTCAGTCCAAATCCCACTGTATTTACCAATTCACATGTAACTGCGGAGAAAGTTACTTAGGGAGGACAGATCGCCGATTGGAAGACAGGATAGGGGAACATATTCCAAAATGGTTAATCAAATCCATGATTCATCAACCTAGCCCGTCATCTCAAATTGATCAAGAAACCCAGTCTCGTCTACTGCAAAACATCTAATGATGAGTGGTCATCAAATTGACCCAAAATCAGCTTTTAGAGTTGTGACATGTCATCAAAACCCACACACACTGAAACTACTTGGATCTATCTTGATTGGTCGGAAAAGTCCAACTTTATGTGTTCAAAAACAACTGTATGTTGATCTTTGTTTATCATGGTTCTAGTGAGTGAATGTCATGCTAAATAAGAAATTTTGACCTTATCTTCAAAACTGTATTTACACAAATAACATGTTGTTTGTATGTGACTGACGAGAAAGCACGAAATGGTACTATCTCACAAAATATATCTTCTCGTTTCTCTGTTCAAATTGATCAAAGGGAACCACTATTGTGGTGTTGTTATTATTCATGTCAAATCTCGTCCACTAATCAGTCAGTCAGTGAGTTAAAACGTAGAACTTCGTACATACGTAGTTACATCAGTTCTAGTTTCCATATCACATTAGCATACAGACTCAATTGTCAATTCAAATCTCATAGTAGTAGAGGTAGTAGGAGTATGGGCAGTTATCGTACCATTCCAAATGTATTCTTCAGAGGAATCATTTCAATAAAAAAGCGAAAATAACGGTCATGAGGAATTTGGGAGATTAGGATTTGAGAGGATACACAGAATGGATGTACTTGCGCCATTGCAAACGGTTTTCAGCTATGTCATTCAAAATCTCGAACAATCGATTACTATCATCTCGAGGACCCCAACCAGTCAGTTCAAAAATCAGTGTAATCGGATAAAAAAAATTATTTTCGTCCACATTTGGATTAGATGAGAGAATTTGATTTGTTAGTTTTAAGTACCAATACTCTTAAACCAAGCTAATTCTGATATTATAATCTCAATATCATGTCTGTTTTTGGTCGTACTAGAATCTGATTACAAGATAATAGAAAGATTACTACTCTCCTATGTTGCGTAGTTATTAAGTTCATCTTTTCTTATGTTTGATTATTTTACGTGAGTTTTTTCAACTAACCTCTTAATCAAACCTGTTTTCACACAAATATCATCTTTCAAGAACATTTGACTTTGACAATTTCGATAAGAATCAATATTATCAAGGTTTGACTCACTAATCTACGCCCATTATTGCAAATGGAGCACTGGCAGACGACCAGCATTCTCCAACCTATTCTGTCCTACTGTTCATTCACTTCATGTTTACTTCCGATTCTCGGCGTATTGTCTTCTATGGTCTTCTCCTTTTCCTTTGATATTGAGGATTCCAAATGAGGGTTTGTCTTGTGACGCAGTTGGATGCGTTCCTCAATGTTTGTCCTGTCTATCTACAGCGTTTCTTCCTAATTTCTTCCTTTCTTGGAATTCGATTTGTTCTTTACTCCAGTAGGTTATTGCTGATAGTTTCTGGTCAACGGATCCTCAATATATTGAGTAGTCATCTGTTTATTAATATCTGACTTAATAATTTCGAATAAACTGGTCATCGAATCATTTGTTTTCGATTGTCCCAAGATCTAAATGAATAAAACATGAACTTTTAGATGTCTGTCTACTTCACTTACTGTGGTGCGCGCTACTTTTGAGTAGTATATGACGCGTGTATAAACGTAATGTCTGGCAGCAGAAGATGGGGGAAGATCAAGAAAGGAACAGTTAGAACACAATGGAATTTGTATGAAACACATGAATATTGACAATGGATTGATGTTTTGCAACAGGAACAGTCCAATTCGATATGATGAACTGATATTTTGCAAATGAACGATTTACGATATGGTTTTCCAATTTTACTGAGTAACTCTGTAATTTTCGTTAAATACAATTCGGTTGCCCCACCTGTGTTCTCCTTCACTGCATTACCTCAAATAATAAACAACTCTAAATGAATGAATATTAATTTAATTTGTAAAATGAAACAAATCCAAATATTTAGTGTAATCAGAAAAACAAACATCGTGTTCATGTCTATTCAATTAATAATTTGTTCGTTCAAAAAAAAGTAACAACCTACATTAATCCGTTAAAACACTGAACATTTCAATTTTTTTTGTTCAATCATTGGGATTTGATCAACATAAATCTATGTTATTTTAATTATGATTATTGATTAGAAATTTTAATGGTTTTTAAAAACGAAAAATGTTTTATTTTTTTCTGATTAAAAATTATACATATTAATAGAGCTTGTCTATCATAAAATGACTGTTGGCAAAATATATGCAAGTTATCTTATCATTGAAAATTGGCGAGCAACACGAGCTTTTCAAGGTAAAGGTGGAACATCGGTAAGTTTTAATTATAAAAATTATTTATTGAGTAACTTGTCACTGATATTCTAAATTGTAATAAATCAGAGATTACAACAACTTAACCTGTGAGCTGTACTTGTGATATGTGTGCTTTAAGTACACCATCTTACCTTGTAATATTGCAAATGCTGTGTGATCTAATCTTAGATTACTTACTTTACTTTACTTACTTACTTTCGCCTGTTACCTCCAATGGAGCATAGGCCGCCCACCAGTTTTCGTCAACCAACTCTGTCCTGGGCTTCCCCCTCCAGTTCTGTCCAATGTTTGTTCATTCCTCTCATGTCTTTCTCTATTTCTCGGCGTAATGTGTTCCTCGGCCTTCCTCATTTTCCTTTTGACTTGAGGGTTCCATGTGAGGGCTTGTCTCGTGACGCAGTTAGGTGATTTTCGTAGTGTCTGTCCTATCCACTCCCACCGCTTCTTCCTTATTTCCTCTTCCACTGGAATCTGGTTTGTTCTCTCCCACAGTAGGTTGATGCTGATGGTGTCTGGCCGACGAATCCGAAGTATTTTGCGTAGACAACTGTTAATAAACACTTGTATCTTCAGGATGATGGTTTGGTAATTCTCCATGTTTCCGCTCCATACAGTAGAACTGTCTTGACATTTGTATTGAAAATCCTGAGATTATATGCTTAGATTAGATTATATTAGATTAGATGCTGGAATCAATATTTTTCGATTAGATCACCATTTAAAGATTTATACTGAAGATCTACTTAACGACAAAGAATCAACTGAATATCTCAGAATAAGGTTGGGGATAATGAGATAGTGGAGAATATTTGTAGCTAAGGCGAATGATTGTGGTGGTGTTTCATTCTATGAGCTGGACATTTCGGTGGTGTAGCCATTCATTGTTGTTCTGCTGAACAACATCATCAGCACAAACTTTGAATTTCTCTACGTTTGACCGATAGCTTATTCTGTTAATCTCGATCTTGACTGCCTGTTGTTGTGGACCTTAAACCTGTTGTTGTTTGCATCTTTGTTTATGATTATATCTCCCTTTTGATCTGTGTCTTGATCCTATGTTTGCCTATGATTTTTCTGACTTGTTGATAAATTAGGTCAATGTCGATATGTTTGTTGGTTTCTGATTGTGAATGATGTCGAGTTTCATGAATCAACCACTGTTAGACCTTCATTGGAAACTTGAAACGTTTAGAATGATATATCATACTAGTATGGAACTCTTCAATAGCGTTAATCCATGACTCAATGGTACAAGGGTTTGTCGTTTGTACTTGAAACCAAAGGTGATGAGTTAGATTTCCGCATGCAGGGTTGTGAATGCAAATTGCTGAGGTATCCCATTGTGGTCTGAAACAGCCATCTAGCGCTTTAAGGTTTTTAATGATTGTCAAGCTTTGACTTCAATTATGAAAATGTATCAGTTATTCTCAACAAATCGTTCTTAATTTTAGAAAAGAACAATAAAAACGAGTTCATTCCACATGAAATACTTAACTGCCATGAAGACATTGACATTCATACATTATTCCTCGTATTCTATCCAATCAGTTTTTGACTTTTCACAGATAACATGCATAAACCTGTTGACTAGTTGACATTTACCATTAATCGTGAACGCTTTTGGTTTAAGGAAAATCGTTGACTGATATATTTTAGTTAAATCTACTATCATTTCTCTAAAATGCCAACAAGAAAAAAGGTATCCCTAACTCCTTGATGATTATTCTGTTGAAACTTTATATTCACTAGTACTGCAGTAGTATATAACCAACTGTTGGTAATTTAGACAGTCAATATTAGTGTATAAGTTCTCCGAATAAATAAAAAAGAACATGAAATCTTCTACGAAATTTGTACAGTTGAGAAACAAATGATCTAGAAGAATGATCTGGTCTACATCCCGCTTGTTCAAGATAACTCGAGAGTGATTCCGTTCCTTGAAGAGCTATCTTTGTTCACTTTTTTCTCTCTCTCTCTTTACTAAATTTAATTAAAGCAGTTGACAAATTTCTTCAGATTACCGCCTGTTTTTTGATCCACAATCAGTATGATTATCATAAATTCAATCCTTATTTACATCAAGTAAAATAATGGTTTAAGCAGTTGTTACTTAACCAGTCTTGTCTAAAACACTAAAAGAATGCTGTTTTATAGTAAAGATTTTTTAAATAATATAACTTTCAGCTGAAAATTTGTCGTTCTACTAACATGGTTTGACGTTGAAATTTTATTTATTATTCACCCGTTTGAAATTCAGATTTACAATTAATAAATAATCTGAGCTAACAATTTATTATAACTTTTCGTGACCAACTGTCAATGCTTTTTTAAAAAATTTAAAACTAATCAAATAGTCTCATTCATAAATATTTAAATCATTTATACATGGCGTAGAATTTTCAATATTATGTTAAAATATCGTTTGTAGCCTATTTTTTTTTAAAAAAACTCTTTTCTTATGGTTAAAATCAAAAGCATAGCATCTTCTGTTTTTTGTTGGTTTTATTTGTAAATTAGAAATCTGCCAGCATATTAGCACGATTTTTCGGTGCAGTAAAACAAAATGCTCATCATCCAAATGTGAATTCTGAGACAGAAGATGAAAAAGGAAGGTGAGTAGAGGTGATTGTCTTTATTTTGTATTGAAATATTCCAAGCCCTGATATTTGTTCGCTGAACACAAAGTGTAAGTTTATATTTGTATCAGTATGGGGTTGTGAAAAAAAAGAGTTGAGCAGTAGTGAAATCTTGTAGCGATCGAAGTAATAAACCAGCAGAAACCTGTTAGCACTGAGTGTTTTAACTGTCAAGCGAATGATTTCAAATAATTTTTCCTCCGACATAGTTTAGTAACAAGTAGATTCTATCATTTCTAAATATAAAAACAACCATGATTATCCTTTTCTTGTCTTATTATCTTACTCTTGGTTGAAGTTTTCGCTTGTATTAATCAACTAATCACTCATATTGATAGCTAACTTTTGCTGCTTATCATAGTTTTTATTAGCGTTAATAATCACTCCATAACTTTTGTTAGTATACATCGGTTTGGTTAAGAAAAGTAATCATAATTATTCTTTATTTTATTCTGACTTACATTTCACTCCATCAAAACCTACCATATTTATTCATACTCAAATAGTAAATAACTATGAGATTTTTTCTACTGAATAAAACAGTTTGTTTATAATTTTGTGGTTTGCGCTTTCCCAATATTGAAAATCACAATAATTAATCAGTCAAAATCGAATAGAACTCCACATGTAGCCGTTCTAGGGGTACAGTCGGTCCCAAGCCTCGATTAAGGAGGAGGGTTGGGTATGGGATTAGTGACCTCATCCCCTAGAAATTCAATTCGCTAGAAAAAAGACGCTAACCAGAAAAATAATTCGCTGGTTGGCGGTCTATACTCCATTTAGCGCAACATGCAAGAGTAGGTAAGTAAGTGAAAGAGAATAGACTATTAGGACCATCAAAATATCACAAAATAACATTAAAGGTTATTTCATATTTTTTTCTGATCATGTTTTATCTTCACATCTATTCTTGAAAAATGCCGGATACAATGGTACAGTAGGATTCATTTTAGGTTTGTTTGGTTTTCGTTGGATCTTCAAAATGTCCTGAAGAGATTGACGTTTTTATTTCATTTCTCCGCTTTTGTAATGATAACTGTCTTTGGGTTATTGTTTAAGCAAGTAGATTTCGTTTTTAGTGCCGCTGAAAATGTGGAAATTCGGGGATGATTACGAAGCTAAAAGTTTATTTTCCAGGTCGTTACCTTCTTCATTTGAAAGTCATTTCTTACTTATTCACTTACTTGTGTGTCGCCTATAACCGTTTTGTTGAAGACACACAGATTTGCGAATCTCTCACCATTTTCGTTCATTACAACCAATCATCCCGTATTATATTCATACCCAGTGTTGTCCATTCTAGCCTTGACGTTTAGGTCGTCCATCAAAATGGTCAAATCGTTTGCTGGGCAGTTCTTGATAACTGACTACAATTTCTCATAGAAATCATCTTTATCGTCTTGACTGTTATTGTTGGTAAGCGCACAACACTGGATGATGTTCATTTCCACAGCAACTTGAATAGTTCTGCCAGTAGCCTACATTGTGATAACATTCAGTGTGCCTAAACTGATTGTTGCACTGATTATGAGAAGGGAAATCGACCCTGTAACTCCTGATGAAACGTCACTTTGTTTTTAAACATAATAACAGTATGCTTGCAACTTAGTAAAACATTGTTTTACATTTACATAAAAATTGAGCTAAATTTTGTTTTTGAATTCAATTTTTTAGTCCTGATCTGAATGAATTCTCAGAGAATATAACATCTGGAAATAAACATCCAAGAAAAAGTATACTTTCAGTAAGTTAACAATTTTTTAGAAATACGATTATTTAAGTTCATTCTCATTCTCATTATACAGTTGTAAAGATTATTGAGTTTCATTGAACTCATGAATCAATCATTTTAAGACCAACATTAAAAACCTGATAACACTGGACGGTCATATCACCTTAGTATGACACTCATCGATTGTGTGCATCCACGACTTCCGCTCACGGGAGTCGAGCCCGGGACCTTCGGTCTCGTACGCGAACTCCTAAACTATAGACCTCTGGACCAGTATTCAAGTGTGTTATTGTCTAACATCAATCAATCCTCGGTATGATGCATACCCGCATACATGCGACAGGATTGAACTTCACTAGTCACGGCTTCTCACATTACCTTAGACTGATAAAAGTTTGACATTACCACCGTTGGTCAAGTTTGTGAAATTAAACTTTTAGCCAAATAAAATAATAAGCTAGTTCATAATATGTAGCTTCCTTTTTTAAAGATGAATACACTGTACATATTACTTAAATATCACTCAATTTTCATTCAACTTTTGACCAATTCGATTATCTTTAAAAGATTTCAGATCATAATGAACCAAATCGTATTTTTACACCAAAAAAATCAGAATTCACTGAAAAACATGTACATCGAGCTAGTAGTAGTAATCTTTTACGGAAAAGATTACGAATGAATGAAATTGATCCACAACATCCTAGTCATCAATCACATTTTATTGATCATGATGATAGTATAACATCAACGGAACAATTTCAAAACTATGCAACACATTTTATTCCATCTAAAAACGATCAAGTATTCAGTGATCGTAATTCAGCCCGTTATTATCCAAGTCATTCAAAACATCTGAGGGAAAATAATACTTTACATCATGAAATACCTGGAAATTTTGAAATAACTGATAAAATCAATGAAAGTAGTGAAGAACTATCTGAAAGTCAATATCATCATCATCATCAGCATCAATTTGTGACTAGTTCACCAGGAAGTTATTTTGAAGGTAAGTTTCAGTGTGTATAAATTATATAATCTAATTTTGAATATGTCTCTCATAAGTTGAATAATAAGGTTATTGAAATTTGACAGTTTATTAGTGGTTCATAACAATTATCATCATGATATAGCAGATCAGTTAGTGACGTAGTGAATGTTCATCAGTTGAAGTGGTTGGGACATGTGTTACAAGTGCCCAATCGCCGACTGCCTTGATGAGCGATGTTGTCTGGTGTAGGGATATGGTGGGAAAAAGCTAGAGGCTGCTAAAACAAAACATGGCACAAATCAATGAAGTCACTAACAAATGGACTGAGTCATGTTATCAGGTGTAGACTACCAGGTTGGGGTCCGCGAGACAATAGTTACCGATGGTTAGAGACATTGAATGACATGGATCAAAATCGTGAGCGATGACAAAGATGCATCCTTTTTTTGTCTTTTCTCAATATTTCATGAGATCAGGACCCATTTTTTCTCTGTTTAAATTTATTTAACTGAGATATACTTCCTAAATAATATCTTAGAACCTAAATCTTCTTCATTACTGCTAATACTTTTACTACCTCAACCACTATGGCATTTCAACTGACAGTCCGATCTCTTTGTGCTAATGTGGTATAACAACTTGAACTGATGTACGTAAGTATGTATGAAGTTGTACGTTGTAGCTGACTAACTAACTGACCGATCATCATGATTCAATTGCATATATTTTTGACTAGTTATAAAGTTTGTAATGGAATCCAGTAAATTTTTCATGAATACTAACAGTTACAGAACTATCTCATGGGATTTATGACTCAATAGCAATAAGAAATACACGTTCCACCTTTTTCAACTGTAGCTTTCTGTTGGTTATTGATCGTTATGATTAATATGTCTGAAATTCCAAGTCTAAAAAATAAGGACCTTTCGAGATGACTTTTCGTCTGGGATGAATTGTTTATGAGAGCCTTTAATGATAAACAAAGAAAACAAAGACATGTCACAAATTTAAAGGCTGATTTTGGGTCACTTTGATGACCACTCATCATTAGATGTTTTGCAATGGACGAGGCTGGGTTTCTTGATCGATTTTGAGATGATGGGCTAGGTTGATGAATCATGGATTTGATTAACCATTTTGGAATATGTTCCCCTATCCTGTCTTCCAATCGGCGATCTGTCCCACCTAAGTAACTTTCTCCGCAGTTACATGTGAATTGGTAAATACAGTGGGATTTGGACTGAATCGGTCTTGGAGAGTTGATTGGGGTAACTGATATCTATAAGCCTCCCGTGATAAGCCTCAGATTAGCTGCATTGAAGGTCTTTTTTATTGCAGCTGCAGTCTGTTTGGTTGTAATTTTCATGCAATGATCACCCTTGAAAGGTAACTGTAGGTACACTGGTTTCTTGGGTACATCAGTTGCTATCAGCTTCGTCGTAGTTGTGTTCTGATGACCAATAAACGTTTCGGGATATCCGTTTGATTTAAGTGTCTCAGTAATAAGCTTGAATTCGTTGTTCAATGTATCAGCAGTGCAGATTCTACTTGCTCGAGCTAATAAAGTTTTGACAACGAAACGTTTATATTGTATGGGGCAGAAACTAGTGAAATGGAGGTACTGTCCCGACCAGGTGGGTTTGCGGTGTACTTTTCGTCTGATTGATCCGTCTGGACGGCGATGGAGCAGGATATCGAGGAAGGCTAGTTCATTATTCTTTTCTTCCTTATGAGTGACTTTCAGATTCGGGTGAATCGCATTAAATAAATCATTGACTTCATTAATATCTGTAGAATGTGGTAATATGACAAGAATATCGTCTACATATCGTTTGTAAAGTGTAATACCATCGATGAAGTGACTCACTTGCCTTTCTATCATTCCCATGAATATGTTTGCTAAAACTGGTCCGAGAGGGCTTCCCATAGCCACTCCATCGATTTGCATAAATGCTTTACCTTGCAAATAGAATTTTATATTCTTTGTGCAGAGCAAAATTAGATCGCGAAGATAGGTAGTCGGAATGGGTATTCTTATGTTGTGTGAAGTGATGAAGTCACAAATAAATTCCACAGTTTCTTCGAGAGGTACATTTGTGAACAAAGAGTTTACATCGAAAGAACGCATCCGACTATTAGAAATATTAAAGTGTTCTAAGGTTGGGAGAAGTTCAAAGGAATCGAGGAAAGTATGTGTCGACAGTTGTTTACCTTATCTTCAAAACTGTATTTACATAAATAACATGTTGCTTGTATGTGACTGACGAGAAATATGTCTTCTCATTTCTCTGTTCAAACTGATCAAAGGGAACCACTGTTTTAAAATGTATATTGTTTATTTTTCAGATCAACAAGATCAGTATTTCGAAAAACCTGATCATCATCATCATCCTCAGTTAATGCGTACCAATTTTGGTAAACTTTACAATACTGATGAAGCAGAATATCTACCGCAAACGGTGTCTTATGCAAAACCATTTTCACAAAAGCCAATAATGCCTAGCAGAGGTTATGGTATTCATTTATCCCCTAGCATTGATACCAATAGGACTGATGATTTTGTTGAGGATGAAAGAGATATGCCATACTATCAGTTATGTGATGTTAGCCCTACTGAATTTCATACTCCATCACATATGAATATTAAAACAACCGGACATAAACGTCCTTTAGAGCTTCCACATCAACATTCAATTCCTATTTTCACAAAACAAACCGATATTAGAGGTGAACCATTATGGGGACTAAGAAATATGCCTCAATTAACACGAAGTCCAAGTGTAGAATATGCTACAAAATATTCTTCTCATGAACCATTGTTAAAGCATCAGCCATATGGTTATGAGACTAGCCAAACTCACAGAAAAACTGATCTTCAACCAAACCCTTATAGTTCAATATTTCATCCTATTCCACCTCCATCAGGTTCAAACATATCCAATCTTAAAGCGCATAGATCATTTGATACAAATGAAAGTCAGGAAAGTGCTCCACACCCATTCACAGCAAGTATGCATTTTCAGCCAATACCTCCACCAACAAATTATGATTGGGAACCAGATTATATTGGTGAAATGTATACTCATACAAGAAATGAAGAACCAATCAAAAAAGCCACAAATCTAACCGCTGATCAATCGTCAAATTTTGCATCTACTTCACATTTTGATGATTTCAAATTGAAAAAATCCCCTATGTACTTTCATACTCCACAATTAAAAAGACATTGTATACCACATACTATTATGACACAAATTAAAAGACCTAAACAACAAATTCATGCAACTGTAATAAATTTTAATAGTAATCCAACAATGTTTACTGGTAATACTACTACTACTACTACTTCTACTACTTCTACTACTACCATTGCACAACCAACTACTAATAATCCTTGTCATACAAGATCACCATATGAATTACCGACAAACATTTCATCTTTATACCATCATCCTATTGAGTATTATGATCTTCAAAAACAACCAACTGGTTCTTCATCCTCTACAATGTTTCCACATTATTTAAATTATACACCAAAAACTGATTATCATTCAATACAATCAGATGATGAATTCGAACAGAAATCAATATTGAATCTACCAGACAATTCTTCATCATGTTCAAATAATAATCATGATGATGACGATGATGACGAGGAGGAGGAGGAGGATGACGGTGTAATTTAAACAAATTGTTATTAATCTGACTAATATTACTATTATTATTATGAGTATTATAAATTATGCTATGTAATTCAATATTATTTCCTTTTATACATATTTATATATATATATAGTATGATAATGAAATCATCATCAATTGTACAATTTTTTTTTGAAACTATCCACCACAATACTACTGATAACCGTTGTCAGTAACGTGACTTATATATATACACATATGGTTGATGAATTCAATTTAGCTTCCTATTTTCCATTTAATATTCAAGTGATTTGTAATAATATTTTTGTTTATCAATAATAAAAAATAACTATTTAACTAGTTATTTTGAATAAATAAACCAAGAAAAAATGAAATGAAATGAAATGAAATAAGTTTATTTACAAAAACAATTGTTTTTTTTATTACGTCGTCCGTTCATTATCGATACATTTTAAATAGATTTAGGGGACATAGAGTGAATCTAATGAGAATGAATCATAATAATCGAGCTGTTTTTCTTTAAAAACTGTTTAAATTCTAGACATAACAGTAGCAATGATTTTGATGTAGGGGACAATGAAGTATTGTTTATTGTGATATTAGAAATATTCTCTTTGATGGTGAGGATTTTATCAGAATAATATTATTGTCAGTCTTACACACTGCCAATTTCTCAAAGGGAAGTACTATTTGTGTTTAGAATGAGAAATTCATCTCATTCATTCCTTCTCGTGTGAAATAAGAGGAAGTTTACATAAAACTTATGATCAATTGCTTTCGTTGATGTTATTTGGCTGCCTTGTTTTAGCTTCGTGAGCGAATTCTCGATTGTTCTAATGAGAAAAGAAAACGTGACCAGAGAGTTTGACCCTGTCAGCTGTAGGCAGTAACTACTAAAGACAATGGGTAGGCTTTCGCGAAAACACTTAGATTGATCAGAGATGGACATTAACACCGTGGGATGCCTGCTCAGAGGTTGTGTTCGCGCGCAAGGGCGAAGGTCTTGTGTTCTAATCTCGCGAGTAGTAGAAGATATTGATGCGCACTGCTGATGAGTCCCACACCAGGGCAAAACGGCCATGCAGTGCTTACAGGTTTCTTATAGCGGTTTAACAATTATTCATTTAAGATTTCAGTATAAAACAACGGTCTCTATATTATTATAATGCAAAAACAGTTAACATTTTATTTCAGAATATTCATATCACCTAACATGTAAATATTTAAACATTTAAACACCTCCTACTATTATTCTGTCTCAAATTCAACTCTATCGATCCTAAAAATTACGGGTATTAAGGATTTACACAAATAGTTAAAACCACTAATTCTAAAGTTGCCAACAGCTGAAGAGTAACTATGAAATAAATTGTAATTCAGAATCCTTTTACACCAAAATTTTACTGTAATCATCTTAAAATCCTTCTTGGTGTTTTTGATGTCTGATAAAATGAAGTTTCAGGTACATATGTATTTGGTTATTTCAGTTCTATAACTAGTTAACAGTAAAA